TCCACAGGGGGTCATTCGGTGCAAGCCTTTGACACAGTCAGTTTAAATAAGGCCTCCACTGAAGGCCCTCCAGCTGAATCTAATCACAAACGCTGAGAAACACGACACTCACTTTCCATCTCAGTTGCAACTAACTGACCCTTTAAGCAACAGGACAGTTTCAAAATAAGTACAGCAAAAATACAGATGGCTTCCCGCTTTCAACAAACTGACAATGACGATGCACTGCAAAGTTCACTGCATTAAATTTATATTGTTTCCAATAAACAGAACCTCATGAATGCTGCTTAATCGGTTTCAATGCCGCCTATCACAGGATAATGGCGGCTTCAATCACGAAGTATGAAGCATTCCGAAATACTTTTAACAGCCCAGAATCTTATGAGAAGTTAAGGGAGTATTCGGGACGCTTTCTGCTCGACGCCAAAGAACTTACTCTCATTTGGGAATACATTAAAGGCCTAATTAAGCATGTAGAATATGGATCAGCGCCCCAGATATTTACTCTTACACATACAGCACTGTAAAAGGAGCAGACTCATGCTGTTGTCCAAATCTCAATTCAACACTAAACATCACAGATGCGTAGTTCACTAGAAGAGAAAAGGTTTAGCACGTAAAGCTACATTGGAAATGCTAGCATACTAAGCTGGCTAGAAGGGTTATGTTGTGCCCTGGAAGTGTTACAGGAAGGCTAATGGCTAGGCTAACATACTAGCTATAGAGAAAGCTATCTGGTAGGCTAGTGTGCTAAGCTAACTGGGACTAATGCTAAGCTAGGTTAGCATGCTACATCATGGGAGCAAGAGGCACTAGCAGGCAGTGACCTAAGTAAATAAGAAGTAATGTTAGGCTCACAAAAGGATAGTATTAATAGAAAATGCTATAGGCTACACAAGAACCATCAGAGAGCATTATGATAACTGATTTGAATCCTCAGGTCCCTGTTCAGTTGCCAATAAAAATGCAGCACAATATGAGCAGTTAAAAGCGCAATAATAGTAATTTAACCTGTTTTAACATCTTTACCACTGAGACACCTTGGTTTGATCTCATTTCTCGCTAAGTATAGGGGGAAGGGCTACCCGAGGGATCATTCAGCCAGAGATGATACATCACCTGAAAACCACAGTGTTTACTAATAACTAGCTTGTCTATTAATTGGTAGAAATGAAAAAGATACAAGAAGAACATGGAATAATAAGTGTAATCAGCAGGTTGGCATATATGGATCTAATACAGGAAATTAAGCCCAGAATACGTTATTTAGGGATTAATGCTAGATGGGTCTGGTAAGATTGATCCAGACAGATTGTTAAACTTAAAGGGGACAAATATGCCGATATTGAATTATTCTAGCTTCGGAGGAAGGGCAGCAGGGGCTATTCGGGCATCAGACCTGGGTGTACGAAGGAGATTCAGCCTCACTGCACTGGCAGTTGATAGGTAGGCGTCGTTCCACTTATAAGGGATGTGGGTCTGGTCACTTGTTCTCAGCAGATGGCTCCTTGTTAAGCTTCTGCGAGCACAAGATTGGGCAGTTAGACCTAGTCTGGGGCTTCACTGTCGGCAAGACACGTTTCCTCAGCTATGGTGCTTTGGCAAGCTCCTCCAAAGCTCTGTCTGGGCTCCGGAATCAAATCTTTTACACTTTCTCTAAGTTTTTATATATAGGCTTAGAATGTTGAAACTTTCAGTTGGCCACACAGTGGTGTTTCAAGATCCTAACTAGGGTGTTGAGTGAATTTACGATTAACACAAACAAAACAATACATAAACTGTAGCAATGGCAGCTGGAAAATGGTCAGCTGGAGAGCTAATGATTCTTGAAGATTTATTATTGCTTTAGGTTCCATGAATTCACTGAAAGAGCTAGATTAAAACAACAAAAATAAAGAGGGGTTTGTAACCATTAGTTATTAGTATTAGTAATAAAGGAGATATCTTGACAAAGCATGTCTCATTTCTTGAGATCATAATGCACATCCATTTCGCTGCTGTCAGAACAAAATCTCGTATCTCCATTTTTGTCATTTTTCAGTTTTTTAAATACTTAGGAAATGCCTGTTGGCTTTTACATCGTGTGTAAATATCATGAAGAATGGACCAAAAGAAACGGCCCAAAATGACGTGGAAAAAATGTCTGGTTCCATTGACTTACAATTAAAGTAAAGTAGGTTTTTTTCCTTCTCCTGTAAAGGTACTACTTTGGAGATTTATAAAATGTTATTAGACAGTTCACTGTCTCCTAAATAAGATAATACCACCGAGCGCTACATAATGCCATAAAACACAATATATCTAACAATCCATACACTAAGCAAAGGAAACAGAAACCAACCCAACTGTGGGACTTTGAGTATTTAAATAATTAACACAATGAAAACAATCCCCAGGGTGATCCCTGGCTGGAAATCCCCAGGAGAGAGTAGGTTTACCTTGCATAGATCACATAAGCACAGTATACGCAGCCATGGAAACACTTTGCGAGTACTCTACAAATACTATGAATTACCAAAATAAATTTTTAGTTCACATAGTCAAATTACCTTGTTCACTTTCCTGCTAGATGCTAAGTTTGCAAAGTTTTCAGTGAGAACCTTTCAGTGAACCCATCTCCATGAACCACATTTTCTCTCCGTTATGTTTCACATGCGCAGCAACATGAGCCAGTAAAACAGCAGCCCTTGCCAAAATAAAAGTCTTTGCATTCGTACATGTATATCCAAAAGAAAGGCTGAGAACTAATGAATAATTAAAATGAGTAGTCCAAAAATGCTTTTTAGGGTCCTTTGCATAAACAAAAAGAAACTTAAATGTCTGATCTGAAATTACTTCAGACTTTTCAAGCTGAAACTGAAGCTAGGCTGAACTTTTTAACTTTAAATTAAATTAAATGCTGCACTAAGATTACGCAGAACCAGCAAAAATATGTTTCCTTGGTCAGACTAAGAGATTGTTTACAATTTTGACTAGTACCGTCTCTGTACTATGATCAGCCCTAAATCCAGGCTGAAAATGTTCATGTATGTGATACCTATGCAAGTAGGAAATTAGTTGTTGTACCATAGCTTTTTCTAAAATATTTGATATAAAGGGAAGATTTAAAGATAATTCACAGGAATCAAAATCAGGTTTCTTAATCAGAGCTGGTTTAAGAGTTTTTTTGTATATAGCCAAGGCTAAGAGAAGAGTTTATTACTGACAGAAGAGGTTTGGTTATTTCTGGCTAAATTTCTTTGAGTAAACATGTAGGAATTGGATCTAATATGCAAGTAGATGTTTTTGAGGAGGACATTATTTTAATCAGCTCTTTTTGCTGAAGTAAGGTAAAGGAGTCCAGCCTCTCTGCTTTGTAGGGCAGCAGGTTTGTAGCAGTTCTGGTTAATTGTTAACTGTACTAAATAATAATCTAGGATCATTCTTGTTATTTTCAATTTGCAAGGAGCAATAGGTTGAGCATTGTCCAGTAAGTGCCCATCTATAGTCTACAAGGCTATCCTTCCAGATATACTGGGATACTTCTAGTCTAGTCAGGTACCATTTTTGCTTTAATTGTCTGATTGTCTGTTTTAAAGCTCGAGTGTGATCATTGCATCATAGGACAAGCTTTTTCTGCATCTTCTTTCACTTTATAGCGGAGCCACATTATCTAGAGTACAACAAAAAGTATCTTCTCAGCATTCAGTCATAATATCTAATTCGATGGGTTCAGACAGACAGCTGATAGAAGCTGATAGATCTGGATGGTTGTGGAGGATGTTACAGTTTACTTGATGTGGCAATGAACAGACATTACCTCTAAAGCAAATTTCATATGAGGTTAGGTAATGATCTGAGACTGCTGTGCTCTGGGGAAAATGGTTACATGATCTATGTCTACACCAAAGGTCAAAATTAAGTAGAGTGTGGCTGCAATGATGAGTGGGCCCCATTATATGTTGAGTGGAAACCACACAGTCTAAGAAAGATACAACTGCCTTACTTAGTGGATCCTGTGGTTTGGATATTAAAATCTCTGGCAATCATTAATTTATTTGAGACCGTTATTAAACTTGATAGAAAGTCAGTCAAATTCCGCTAAGAACTCAGAATACGGTCCTGGCAGCCTGTAGATTGTGATTAGTAAAACTGAATTTGTATTTGTTCCTCAATCTCTTATATTAAGAAAGAGACTTTAAAAAAAAAGGGGATTTGTAGCCTTTCTAATCCACATTTCTGTGAGGCATAGAGCATCAAAATCATGATCAATTTAGACTTTTTAATATCGATCTTAAAATTCTGCATGAGGTTCTTACTCATCCACGTTTTACCCAATATTATTCACACTGGCCAAACTCATTTTATTAAGCGCAGACTGTCCTTATTCATTATCCAGAGAGTTATTAATAACATGTATTCTTCATCTCTGTTGGTTTGTGGGAAGATGGGTGTTAATCTGTACATTTGTTAAAAATACTGAGTGTACTCTTTTAGCTGCCAGCAGCTTCTTTCTATCAGACTGACTTTTTGTGCTATAAATCTTGTACATAATGATATTATTTCCTACAAAAATTGTTGTTGCATAAGTTTTGGTTTATCAATAAAAAAAGGTTGTTGACGTTTCAATTTCTAACCTCATGTATGTCACAACTTACTTGGCGGTATATAAAATATAGAAAATATTACCAACTGCAAGTTCCATAGCCTAGTTTTACACTTTTAGAAGCATTAAAATATTTTTTCATATAAAATTGGAAATGTAGCTAGAGAGAAATAATATCACCTAATTTGTTCTGGTGTACGATGTGAGACCTTGTCATAAAACAGCAAAACAAACAAAAAAGGAAACGAACACTTTCATTTATATTAAAATTTGCAGACTGCAGTTTGTTTAAACTGTACTTTTGAACCTAAATGTCATCAAAAATGATCATTATTCAGTTCTATTAAACTGTGTTGTGTTATTGACAGAACTGTATTTGCTCTTCTGCAGCTCTTTTACTTTTGTCCTCTGTTTCAAGTCCTCTAGTCATGAAATCTGCTGACGCTTTCAGGAAAGCTTATTTTGTAAATTCTTATCAGTGACCTGTTTACATGTCCAGACCTGACTATAAGAGCTGACCACTTATGCTGACCAGTATGTGCCTGAGATAGGACAGCTGAATCTTACTTAATCCCAAACTGCACTGTGTTAAAAACTAGTTTGTTATATATGTTTTTCTGTTCTTGAATCTTTGTTCTAGCCAGATATTTCAGTATGGACAAGCTTTTGGTCATACTGACCCTAACAGGACTGTTGACTTCTGGTAAGTTAATCTAAATGAATTTAAATTTGCTGTTAGTAGTTTTGACCTAAGAGAGTTTATTCTATGTTCCAACTGGTATAAAAGTAACTGGAGAAATAATCTTTTGTTCAGGCTTTTGATACAAATAGTAATATTACAAAGGGATGCTTTACTGTTAGAACAGAAGTTTGAGTTGCAACTGAGAGAAATGTTTATATTTGAATTTGTCTTTCTCAAGGAGTGGAGAGTTTTACGATATCAGAGAAAGAGTATGAGAACATTGATCGAATGCTGGAATTTGGGGTCCAAGTATTTCTGAACTGTTTGGACAAAGTCAAAGAGGCCACTGAGAAACTGGTGGAAGAGGACATGCTGAGAACAAACAGGTAGAATCAGCAAGACTGAACCAACGTCTGACTGCTTTAAGTGGACTATGAGTAATATCAACACCTGTAAAATGACACCTTTCATTCTTTTCTTCTACAGAATTGCAATCCAGGACAACTGGAATTCCTTCAGAGAGACAGCCAACAGAATCAGTGTAGAGGAAAGAGGTAAAGGAGTGCAGGATGATTTAATTGTAGCAGCACGGTGAGTCCAACCTGTTTATAATTAGGTTAATTAAAGTTATAGTTTCATAACACCACTGATATGCCTATTTGGAAGTTATGTTACTTGTTTATGTTGATTATGTATATTTTTTAAAAAAGCTGTGTTGTCAGCAGCTCTGTGGCTTTTCAGCTTTTCTGAGTATTTATTCTTTGCTGCTTTAATCCAGCTTGCTCTTTCTCCAGCTTGTATTTTGCCTCCTTATAGCGAATTCTGCCCCACTACTGAATGCTGCCTCCTTTTCCCTCCAAAGCTGAGTTCAGCTGAAAACCATACTTTATCATTGCTTTATCATATTTTACATGCAGCTCTCCTCTCAGAAACTGGTGTGACGTCACTGTGTCTGTATATCCATCTAAGCTGTCTGTCGCCTCTTCAAAAACAGTCCTGTCTGTGGATTCAAAGCAGCCCTTTAGCTTTTCAATGTCTCCACTGGTCCACCTGTTCACTGTTGTAATGACAGCCTTGTTGATTTTGAGTTTCAGCCTGTTAGTTGGGATGACGTGAACAGGACTGTGGTCAGAGTGACTGAGAGCTGCGAACATGACGGCATGATAGGCATTTTTAACAGTGGTGTAACAACGATCCAAAGTGTTTCCTTTTCTTGTGGCACAAGAACGAACTAAGTTAATCACATCCAGACGGGGTTTCCAAAAACCATCTTAGCACAAAGATGATTAAATGATAAAGCGAGCATCGACCTGAATACTCTCTCTACCAGTTAAGTGATCTTAACACTAAGATGCTTTTGGAAAACTGGGCCCTGATCTACAAACTCACAGAAATGAGTGATCTGTGCAAAAGGAAACCAGTTTAAAATTGAACTGTTCAGATGAAGAAATGTTTATTTGATTAGTTTTTCATTCTGTATCTCACAGCACTGTTCGAAGACTGGTCCTGCACTACAAGGATGATGTCAAAAAAATATTCCATACAGTAATAATGGAGCAGAATGTTCAGATGTATCTACCGTAAGATCTGAATTCAATCTTCTTATCATGTATCTGCTAGTATGAATGTTACGGACCTCACTTTTTAAGTCTTATGTAATAATTAACTTGTATGGTGGCTTCATGTATCAGATTAAATACTGAGGTGCAACATTAGTTAGCTTCTGGTCCTAAATTACACTATAATGTCAGAAAATGATTCCCCAGTGCAAAACATTTTAAATTGAAGTTCATGATTAATCTTGGTCCATCTATCAGTATCATTTTCAGTCTACCAAATCAGACATACCCATATTAATCAATACAACTTTGAGCCATACACTGTTTAAAATAAGGATTTAGATTTACAGAAATATACTGTATTTTAACTAATAGATCATAATGTAATTATATCTCATGCTAACAGTTCTGCTATTGAACTTCTGCAGAGCTGTAAACACGTTCAAAGGGACCATTGAAAGAGCCAAAGCCAACGAGATCTGGGGGTACACATGATTTTCTTATTATAGTTCACAGTAAAAGGCCAAATGTTTTTATAGTAGGTTGTGGGTGTTTTTCCAGCAACATCACATTGACTTGTTTTGTATTTTATAGCAATTTGGTTTCAAACTACCTTCCTGATGCTCCATCAATTGAAAGTGAACCACTGGAGTTTCTCTGTTACCTGCTGTCCACTAGGTATGAACGCATGTTCTGTCTTTACTGTTTTTTCTCTCCTTGAACACTATAAGCATGCTAGTACTGTACTGTTATTTGTGGTATGCACCATTTATTGCTTGTAAAAACACTATATAACATTATAGTAAATACAAAAGAACATAAATAAATTAAACAATAATATTTGCTTTTAATAAACTACATAAAAGGTAATAGATACCTCTAAAGAATTTCTCCTCAGTGCTCCCAGACGTTGCTGTATTTATTAAACTCCATCACCAGCACACCTGATTTAAAAAAGAAGTACGAAACCAGGCATTGGAGGATAATTACAAATAATGCTTAGCTGCCACGAGGAGACGAGCACAATAAAATATAAAGTTAGAGATTATAGCTAATCTTTGAGCTTTCAGGTACAATTTATGGCAGTCATGTTTTAGCTCTTCATCAGTGGTCATTTTCTGGTTGTCTAGGGGTTTGGTTGACAGACTATTCTCAACCCAACGGTAACATTAAGGTTTAAAATAACTTTAACACTGCTGTGCCCAAAATACACCAGCACAGCTTACAGTGTCATGCCACTGTCAGAAGTCTGATGGGACAGATTTTTATTAGTCCATTTATTAAGAAATTTTGATCAAATTTAAAGAGCAGCACAAAATATAAATTATAGAAATTTTTAGCCCAGCGGTGACAAAAAAGTACTGTAAATGAATAATACACACTGGGTTTACTATTTTTGCTAGCAAATTGGAAAACATACTAAAAACATACCATTTGTTTTACCATTATTTCAAATGCAAAGCAAACTGAAGGCTGATGAGTGCCTGGCTGTTTTGTGCAGCTTGTGGAAAGTTTCATTTTTAGAAAGTTACAAATTAATCTATTTTATCTATTTAGTTTTTGTGTTCCTCATTTACTGTCATAAATAGAAATGAATTCAAAGCTGACATCTCTTTTTCTTTGCATTTAACAGCACCGTGGAAACTTATATTGTGAATGTTCTGAAATGTGGAGTGGAAGTCATTTCACAAATTAAAAAAATAGATTTTGATGAAGTAACTGAAAGGTAAGAAACTAGCATGACAATTGTTTAATTTTATAATAATATTAATATTATTTAGTAAGAAAGTTATATAAAATGAGGTAATCAAATAGAAAGGTTTAAGTAATAGGCTTCGCCAACCAAGCTCAGATCTGTACTCGTGTTAGAAAATATCAGTGGTGATATTTTAGCTGTAAACGCATTTTTAATAGCTGACAGGTGTATTTTATGAAATCTATTTTCTTTGTAAGCATTGCTGTCTCTGTGTGTTCAAGGGTGAGAACCAAATTTGAGGCAGTCTTTGAAAAGTTAAATGAAATTCGCAAAACTGAGCGTGAGAAAGAAGAGGATGATTTTCTTTTGCTAGTAAGGTAAGCTTCTTCATCAGAGGAATCCGTCATTGTAACATGTATCCTTTCTCTGTGAATAAACAGAAGAAATAAATTCTAGAAACACTTTGGGTCTCATTCACCAACCATCCTTAAGCTTATGCTTATACAGTTTTGACAAAGATTCTGACATTCACTAGTATTCTCTTATTTGGCATTTGTTCTTAGGTAAGAACAGAAATTATGCACACTCAAGAGCACGAAGATGTGAACAATTTTGCAATTTCAGAACATGTCATGAATCTGACAGACGTTTTGTTCAGACCTTTCTCAAATACAAATTTAAGAGAAAGGTTAGGAAGCTGTTGGCGACTAAGGCCCATTGTCTTTCTTTGGTTTCACCGAGTTAAACTAGCCATCTTCAGTTTATTACAGTCAGGAAAGAGCTTCCAGTGTGGACTGCCAGCTAAAAAATCAAGAAGCAAACTAACATTATTAAAATAAAATTACTTCACCTGACTTCCTGCCATAAAGAATGAGAAAAGAAAGAATAAACAAAATCAGAGCACTCTCTACATCTGGGAAAATTACAAGTATACACTATTATATACTGTTAATCAATGGTCTTTAGCCAACAATCAAGCAACAGCCATGAGCCGTCTAGCCAACAGAAGAATTGATGTAATTGATGGTAGGCAGATAGTAAACAGGTGCAAATCAGAGTAGACACTTGGGCTTTCAGTTGGGCTTAGAAGTCAAATTAGACTTTCACCCGTTTGTTTGTCAAATATTCCAATATATTGAAATGTTAATACATCATTTTCAAGCTGCAAACAACATAAATAGGACACAAGACTGCATGACTACATTTTATGTTCTAAGTCCACAAGACCAATTAGCATGAGTAGGCAGCATCCCTGATAGTTCACAGTGTTATAAACAATAATTATAACTAAAATGTTAAAAAAGAAGTCCAAAAGCATTTTCTTACCTCTCACCACCAGTAATGAAAACATGCTGGTGGTGATTCTGAAGCAGCAGGAAGGTCAGTACATGGACAAAGCTGAAGCTTCTTACAGGTGCCAGAATGTTACTGCTGCACTATTTTAGGTGGAATAGAAAATCTGAATAAGAAGCTGGCGAATACAGGAAACCAATGAGGCCTAGTAGTAAAGGTATCTTTCCTTCCATGCTGGTGTTCTGACAGACCGAACTTCTCCCTGAGGATGTGCAGTTCACACTGTAAGTGATCTGTCAGAATGAGCTATCATGACCCTTACAAACATCACTAAAGCTCATTATGTTACCTTTCTAACATTAGTTACTGGAATATTCTAAGCTGTATCAGTTTCTGTTCATCAGAAATATTAACAGCTACTCCAAATGAATATTGATCATTCAGCAGCTCAACCTGTCTCAGTATTGGCTAGCTAACTACACACAACTGGTTTATTAGCTAGTTAATTAAAATACAACTTATTTTGTAAACAGTTTTTACATGACACAAATGCCATCTACTCATCTTGGAAACTTATTTACATGTAGATTCATTAATGAACTAACATGTTAAAATGTTGCCTCAAGACCTATAAAATTATTCCAAATAAACCCAACTAAACTGCAGTACCCTTCACTATAAGGCATCCACTCACCATGGGCATGTTTGCCTAATGAAGACGACATAACTGACTTAAAATCAAACAGATGAGATGTATGTAGATGAGGAAAAAACACAGCAAACTTAAAGATCTAAACCTATTCATCCTAGGCTAAAGCATACTGCCACAGCAGGCAGACCCAAAGAAGACAATATGACATAAAAAATATGACATAAAAAGAAAAACAAAACCTATACCTAATCATCCTAAGCTAAAGCATACTGTTTGTGGTCCATTTATGTTTTACGTGTGTTACACCACTGTGATGTGTGTATACTGAAGAACAGAATTAACAAGTGAAGCTAACAGTGTCATTTCCTCCTCTGCATTGCACAGTGTTGTCTCCAGAGCGTTCGTTTTTTACTGGGAGAGTTTTCTGAACGCTACAGATACTCCTGAATTACAGGAAAAGTATGAAGTCATTGAGAGGTGAGTTGAGCCTTAAAAGCACTTAAAAGCATGAGCAACAAAAAAATAATTTTGTGTTTTTGTAAATTGCATTGGTTTTCTGGCATTGTCTGAAGCAAACTGGATATTCTAGTAGTATTGGCGCACAATAAAACAACAAAAAAAATTGAATAGGCACATTACAAAATATTATAATGTCTTTAAAAACATTCACCAAAAAGTTTGCAGGATGGGAAAAACGTGTCAGGTTATAGCTTAGCTGTCTAATGTTTTGGCTAATGTCATAAATGTAAAAGGTTGGTGAATAATAACATAAACCTATATATACTTAAAATAGTAACATATACCTACATATACCTTTCAAGGCTCCCTGAAAATAAACTTATTTTGAAGTTAGGCTGTTCCTTGGGGAAAAAAAAATGCTCACATACAAATTCAGGGAAAGGGCATTGTTTAGTCTTCTTCACCTAATATCGACGAGCTTCTGTACTAACTAAAAATACAGCACTGGTCTGCCTCAGGGTGGAGCTGTAGCAAATCCATTCACCCTGATGGCCTAGCAACTGTAATTATGCCTGGAAAACCTCAAAATGCTGCAGCATACTTGCCCAGTTTCACAAGAGATTGGTGTGAAGAGTGAATTGTTACTCATTTCTTAAACCAAAGACAAAATAGGAGATGTGTAAGGTCTCAGTCAATGTGTGGAAGACCATATTACCAAATTAACAAAGAGCATTGCCAAAAAGTAGCTTTTGTTAAACCAAACATTTTCTTGCTATTGAAGCTTGCATTAGCACCACTACAGTGAATAAGTTAGCAACTAGCCAACCAAAAGGGGGCCCCAAATACAAGTGGATAGTTCACAAACTGAGAAAAATCAATGGTTTATAGAACCATGAACACTTAAAGAACCATTTGAACGCATAAATAATTTCTTACATGGTTAAGTCGTTCCTTTTTATGGATGTACATTTACCAGATGTAGTCCATCAGCTGAGACAGGTTTGGTGTTGGTGTCTTTAGTTTTAAACTGGAGCTTTGAGGCAAATTCTGCTAAAAACACTAGAATAGTCACCCAAATCTTTTCTGTAAATTACATCACCCGAACTTGTCTCAATTGCCCAACCTGTGTCCACGTCTTCATTACGATGGTGCAGACTTGTCAATATGCTTAGCCTGCTGTATAACTTAATGTGAACTATAAAGTATAATATTGACTCTTAGTGTTTGTTAGCAATGTTAACTTCTTTCCAGTTTAAAACTAAGGAAGCAAAATTTGAGAACTAAACATGTAGTTGATCAACTACATCAAGGGTGAGTGGAAAAATGTGCAAGTTTAATTTTTAACCAAACCTTTCCTTTAATGGAGGGGTGAGGAATTCTAGTCCTGAAGGGCCAGACTCCTGCACAGTTTTGTGATTTTCTGCTCATGCACATATGATACAACTGATCAGTTAAAAGCCAGGTTTAGGTGATGTGCCAGAGCAGAGAAATCACCAAATTGTGCCATATTCCGGCCCTCAGTTCCCCACCTCTGCTTTAACCCCGTAATATCCCAGGCTTATTACATGCTAAAGTTTAATATTCAGTAACTACAGGGACTTTAATGCAAATTAGTTGAACTGTTAGGTTACAGAAGCATGTAATAAAACTGTGGGCCTGCTGGTGGGCCCATGGCCATGTAAGACGTTAATACCTAATATTCCAGAAGTAGTTACTGTGGTTAAACTACAACAATTGCATACAGTGCATGTTTGTTGTACTTGAATAGCTGTATTTTACATTCACAGAAAACTGAAGGAGCAGAATTTTGAGGAAGAACTAAAAGAAGTACTAAAACCTATAATGGAATCAGAAACAGTGAATGATGTTTTAAGGTATGTAATTCATCAGTATTTTGATGGGCTTCCAGACTTTTCTCCCAGGTTTTCCCTTCTAGCTACAGATGAATGAATCCACTGATTCCCAGTCCTGATTGATAGAGAGTCCAAAGGCTGAACTTTTTTGTGTTTAACCTGAACTTACATAACTGCCTCAGCATATGAAGCTTTTACTGTTTACCTGAGTTCAATCAGGTGTTAATGCATTTTTAAATTCTTATCTAAAGAAATCAAAAAAATCACAAAAAATAATTTAGGGCTAGAGCAAACGAAAACACTACTGTTCAAAAGTTTGGAATCCCTTGTTAAATTAACCATATTTTAAATATGTTAGATTTTAGATATATTAGATGTTTAAAAATATTTATGCATTTTAGATGAATTTAGAGAACATATTCTCAATTAATTTTTTGTCAAGATATCTTTCTCTCATTTGATCATCGTATCTGAAATATGAGACATTTTGAATATGAATTTCATTATGGATGTTATGCAGATTTCTCAGTCATCGCCGAATCATCTACAGCTCAGTTCGTCATTTTGGATTTAGCGTTGAATACATATTTTTTCTAGTTCTAATAGTTGTTTGAAATCTGTTTACACAGATTAGCCTGTCAGAAATATATATACATGTATCTACAACTGAACATGTTTAATACAATTAATATCAATGATTTAAAATTTCTGAACAGTGATTCAAAACCTTTGAACGGTAATGCATCTGTCAGCTTTCTGGTTTATTTTTATTCTGAGCTCATTTTCATGGCTTTAAAATTGACCACATGAAGAATGACCCCACTGTTAGCCCACTAGTGAGTAATGGGAACAGTGGAAGACTCCCTCTAGTGGCACGTTTTATAGTAATCAAACTTCAAGACTGGTGAAAGACTTGGTATATGATGACAGCTGTCTCAATTGATTTTATCAGTATCAAACCATCTACAGATTATTTTGACAAGAAATAGCTTTTACCGAACAATAAAAATGGAACTTAACTAAACAATAACAATAACCATGTAGTACACCCTTTACACCAAAAACCCCACAATACTTCATTGGAATGGACAAGGATGTTTTAATGTGTGTGTGTGTATGTTTCATACATCAACTAATGATTGATAATTCACAAATGTGCTATTAATTTAGACACTTTTCAAATATATGTGTATTTTCCCAGTTTCTGCTTTACTGTCTGGCCGCTGTCTGAACTGATGATTTATCAGTTATAAATGTCTGAAAGTTCATGCTTTTTGCTGACATCTGCTAATTATTTAAATGTAATATCATGTTTGTTTATTTGTATTTCTAGTCTTCACTTTGACTTTACCCGTGAGTTTTATGAAATCGGCATTAGTCCACTGATTGCGTTGTACTTCACTGGTCCACAGAGGTTCGAGAGGACTGTAAGGTAAAACCTGGTTATTTTATTGTATTGCTCTTACTAATATATCACAATAGTGTTGCGGAGAAGTGAACACATCATCAGATTAACACATTATTTGCTTTCAATAAATAGTGAATGGCGACAGTAACCTGTTACAACAAAGATTGAGATCAAGATTCTAATCTCTCTTCCTTTAAGTTTAATTTAAAGTAAGTAAAATTTAGTAAAATTTATATTTTTTACACAGTTTAGGTCCTTTAGTTATAGAGTTGATAGAGAAGTGACAAGTGTTCACAGTGTGTGGACAGTATCATAAGTAGAGCTGGGTATTGTTTGAAAATGTTCAATACCGATAAGATACTTTCAAACAAAAAAATACAAAAAAGGAATAATTATTATTATGATTTTCTTTTTCTGCTGCATACCAGGCAGGTATTAGTGTGTTTGACAGCATATCTCTGGATGGTGGCTGATACTTGGGATTTAATGCTTTTGTCATCTCTCTGAATAAATGAAAACACAAAGAAAAACGTATCCACAAAGCACAAACACGTTATTGTAACCACTGTTATAGTATTGTCTAGGGCTGGGTACCGAAATTCAATACCAAAAAGGCACCGACCAAAGCATCTCGGTACTATCGAGTACAGAAAAGTCTAAAATCAGTGCCTGTTTTCGATACTTTGCATGAAACGCAAATCATGAGGGATTATTGGAGTTAATCTCTGCTACCGAGAAAAGAAAGGAAAAAAGAGCACATAGCTAGCTAAATTCTTCCCTCCTCTTAACTGATATCCTTAGCTTTTCCGCTTAAAGTGAAAGGGGTTGTTTCTCCGTGGGCAACCGCGTTAGCGCGAGTAGAGCTGGTCCAACTGGCCCTAGCACTGTCAAAGCCCTCACCAACAACATGCAGGTAGTTAACAGGGCTCATTTATGAAACCTACGGAACATGAATTATAAAAAACATTACAGATATTTTCATACGGCAGCTGATTTGTAGCCAGCTAGCTAGCTAATACGTTCTAGTTTTATGCTAACGTTTGCTGAATCCTAACTGGCTTTCAGGGCTGACAAACAGCACAGTAACGAGTGTTAGTCTTCTCTGGCTAAGCGAGAAAGGCACAGTAAACTGATACCGTACCTGATGCTATTTTATCACTGGAAACACTGGGGTCTATATATTTAGGATATATTTAGCCCAGATTCTCCTGTCCCCCGCGCCGACGTAGTGCTGTTCTTCATGCGGTCGAAAATTCTGCAGTTTTCTTGATGGAGATTAATGCCATGTGTAATCAAGTATTTCATCAGAATTGACGTATCACCCATTTTGGAAGCCATTATCTTAAGGCACTTGTTGCACCTGGATCTGTTCTCAGCAGCGTTTTCGAAGTACAGCCAAACTTTCGACATCTTCCACATGTTTAGCTAACTGTGTACTCTTTGCGTTTCTGCGCGTCACGTTTTTTTCTTTTCTTTTTGTTTTTTTTGCATTAGTGGTAAGGGTGAGGGGAATCCCTCGTGATTTGCGTTTCATGCAAAGTGTCAAAAATAGGCACTGATTTTTTTTTTTAGACTTTTCGGTACTCTGTAGTATCGAGATGCTTCGGTCGGTGCCTTTTTGGTATCGAATTTCAGTACCCAATCCTAGTCATAAGAAGCCACAGTATACTCACCCATCTAGACACAGTACACTGTGAATACACGCACACTGAACTCCACAGTAGGATATGTTAGTAATATAATAAATATCAGTTTCAGTGCAGCAGCAAACTAAGCAAAATATCGGTAGATACTTATTCATGTCATGAGTAATGTCAGGGCTAAAAAGTACGCTTACAACACAAAATGCCACATTATTATGTGATGAAGTGTTGTGCAGAAGTTTTAGAAAATCTGATTTAAAAGGCTATTTATTTATTTTATTGTGTTTTTATTTGTATGTCAATATTATGTGATATTCAAAACAATTTATCTTTTTAGTAAATGTGTTTTTGTCTGTTTTGCCTGTAAAAGCAAGAGCAGAGAGAAAACACATTCTTTAAAGTATTATTTTTTAAAGTCTGAAGTACATATTAATTTTTTTCCTCTTGTCATGTGACAGGACTGTGGGCATGAGTGCTGTTGTTCATTCGTACACCATTTATGAACAGCTGTCAGAAAGAGGGCTGTTTTCTGAGATGAAAAGACTGTATTTCAGAGGTGTGGACATAGGAACTGCCCTGGCAGGCAATGAAGAAATTCAGTATTTTAGGTAAGCCCTCATTGTCCTAATACAGAATCATAGAGGACTGTGTTCAAGGCTACTGTTACGACTTATATGCAGTTGTCTGTTATGTAAAATAAATCTTTCCCTTTTGTCATTTTTACTCTATATAGTTGCACTTTATTGATATTCTATCATGTATAGTTTACACCGATTGGCCACTTCATTAAGCAGACGCTCCTTGTGTCTACGCTCAGTGTTCATTGTTTCAGCTCTATGTACGCTATAGGTGCCCTCTGTAGATCTATGATTCCAGATCTTTTTCTCTGCAACATTTGTTAGCCCCCTTTTACCTTGACCTACACTGGTCAGGACCCCGACAGGACCAGGAGCAGGTATTATTTGGGTGGTGGAACATTCTCAGCACTGCAGTGACAATGACATGGTGGTGGTGTGTTAGAGTGTGTTGCGCTGGTACGAGTGGATCAGACACAGCAGTGCTGGAGTTTTTGAATACCCTGTCCACTCACTGTCCACTCTTTTAGAAACATCTACCTTGTTGGTCCATCACATAGATGTGAAATCAGAGACAGTAGCTCATCTGTTGCTGCACAGTTTGTGTAAGTCATCATCAGTGGTCACAGGATGCTCTTGGCTGGATATTTTTGGTTGATGGACTATTCTTAGTCCAGCAGTGACACTGAGGTGTTTAAAAACTCCAGCAGCAATGCTGTGTCTGATCCACTCAGACCAGCACAACACACACTAACACCACCACCACATCAGTGTTACTGCAGTGCTGAGAATGATCCACCACCCAAATAGTACCTGCTCTGTGGTGGTCCAGTTTAAAATGGGGCGAACAAAGTATGCAGAGAAACAGATGGACTTGGAGTCTGTAATTGTAGAACTACAAAGCGCACCTATATGGTAAGTGATGGACAACAAGTGTAAATACAAGGAGGTGAACTTAATGAAGTGGCCAATGAGTGTATATATTGATGTTATGTTTCTGTTTCCTGTTGACTTACAGAGAGACGTACTTTGAGAAATGGAAGTCTTTCAGAGAAGAACTCAACACTCTTGTAAATGAAGAGAGAGGCAAATCACATATCCTACTTCCACAAGTGCGGTAAGCTCTACTTGCTAAAAGTTTTGTAGTTACTATAAAAATAAATGTTGTTTATTCACTCCACTTTTTTCTCCTCAGGGCTGTTGCAAGAATGTTAATTGCCAAATTTGAGGAGCTCGTCGACAAAGTCAATGCAGATATTGATGATGACACAGTACAACAGATGTCAACGTAAGAGATTTACTAAAACATAAGTGCACATAAAGAAAACCAGGGCCCATTTGGGCTAAAGAGCACAACTGAACAATTTCAGCAACCATTTTTCATAGTTTCACCATGAAACTGTTAATATTGTCAAAACTACTTATTAAAACCTAAGTGGACTACACTGTTGTAAAGAAATACCCTGTCATCTTACATCTATTTACTAGAGGTACTATAGGAACTATAATAATATTATAAGAAGCTATGAAGCTTTTATAATACTGTGTTATACTTTTAATAATAATCTATATTTTCACCGCATATGATATGATATCTTAGTCATCTATAATACCTGAGTAGTGTACTGCAGTAATCTACAGTAATTGGTTGCTGGTGTATGTTTTGCACAAACTGTGTCAGATTCTCAGTTCACAACATCTGTTGAAATTTTTCATGTTCTGCATCTCTCAGTCAAAAGCCACAACGGTTTGAAATGTATTACTTTTATTGAAATTGAAATCATATATCATTGCTGATGGAACAAACTTCGAAGCTGCTCTTTACATTGTGTGAAAATTATAGGATTAATAGACCAGTAAAAATGCTGCGAAATTAAATGGCAATAAATCTCATTAAATTAACTTTCTTTAAAAGTTGTGAATGTTTTGTCTTTCTCCTGAAAACTTACCATTTTGGAGATAGGAGATTTTGTTCCAACAGTGACAATGTGTTTGCACAAACGTATTTGTAGCACGTCTTGCAAAGCAAAGATTAATTCGATTAACTTGTTGGAATTTTGTTTGTGTAGGAAGTGGAGTAATATAAAAGAAAAATGCATTAAAAAACTACTGACCAGTGGAGCACTTACTCAGGATCAACTGGATGAAGCTCAGAGGTCAGTGATATATAGTGCTGCTCGCTCACCAATCTGATGAATTAAACTGTTCTGAAACAAATTTGCCACTAAAAAAATCTTTTGTGTAGTAAAAATAAACTATGCTAACACAATATGATTTACTTGTTTGGTTTAATTCTACACATTCAATATAATAACATTTAAACTGCATCTTCATTTGTATCTTTTTAATTTATTATAAACTGCAACTGTTCACTCATTCTATATTATTATGATAACGGCTTTCCAATGACACTAATAATTTGTGACTACTTTCTCTTGTAACCTATATTCCACTTCATTGCACCAAAAATAGTTGCTTAAATCCTTTCACTTATTAAATAAATAATGTACCGAACTTATGTTCTGTAAATTTGCATCTAAAAATCATGCAGGCTATTTGTGGGTCTTTTAAACTAGGTTTTAGATGTTAAAATTAGAAAAACAAAAAATGTCTTGACAAAGGGATTTGAAGTATGTGAATATTTATGTAATTATTTCTTTATTGTGTTTTGCAGCATCTTTCTGAATGATATAATTGGGTTTTATGATAAATATCTGGAGTTTACAAAAACGATGGATCCACAGAGAGTTGAAGATACGTCTAAGTAAGATGTGCTTTTTTTTCTTCTTATGTGAGAATGTAGTAGGGGGTGCACAGCATTAGTCAACTAAGAAATCCACTAGTCGGGCTGTGGGCAGCAGTTAACTAGTCAAGGAACATGCCTGAAGTACAGTCGCATTAAAAACTGCAGTGAAAAGTCAGAAGAAGAGAACAGAAGTAAGTTTTTGCTAAACACAAAGTACTTTTTTTGTATAGAAATAATGTACAACCCCATTTCCAAAAAAGTTGGGACGCTATGCAAAATGTAAATAAAAACAAAATGCAATGATATGCAAATCATGTGAACCATATTTTTTAAAGGAAAATACTACAAAGACAACATATCAAATGTTGAAACTGAGAAATGTTATTGTTTTTTGAAAAATATATGCCCATTTGGAATTTGATGCCAGCAACACAGCAAAAGTTGGGACGGGGGCATGTTTACCACAGTGTTTAATCACCTCTTCTTTTAACAACACTCTTTAACAACAAGCATTTGGGAACTGATTAGACCAATTGCTGTAGTTTTGAAAGTGAAATGTTTTCCTGTTTTTGTTTGATACAGGATTTCAGCTGCTCAACAGTTCAGGGTCTCCTTTGTTGTATTTTTCATTTCATAATGTGGCAAATGTTATCAGTGGTGACAGGTCTGGACTGCAGGCAGGCCAGTTTAGCACCCGGACTCTTTTAATACAGAGCAATGCTGTAATAATACATGCAGACTGTCGTTTGGCCTGCAGTGCCGCCTGAGGGCCCAAAGATCACGGCCACCATATATTGTTTTTTGGCCTTGTCCCTTACATACAGAGATTTCTCCAGATTCTCTGAATCTTTTAATGTTATTATGTACCGTAGATGATGAAAAGAAAGAGTTTTTTTGCTATTTTACATTGAGAAACATTATTCTTGAATTGTTGCACTATTTGCTCGTGCAGTCTTTCACAGAGTGGTGAACCCCTCCTCATCTTTACTTCTGAAAGCCTTTCTGAGATTCTTTTTTATACCCAATCATGTTACTGACCTGTTGCCAATCAACCACCAGGTATTTTTTTAGCATAACACAACTTTACCAGCCTTTTGTTGCCCCCCTCCCAACTTTTTTGGGACATGTTGTTGGCATCAAATTCAAAATGGGCACATATTTTCATAAAACAATAAAATTTCTCAGTTTCAACATTTGATATGTTGTCTTTGTACTATTTTCAATTAAATATAGGGTTTAAATGATTTGCACATCATTGCATTTTGTGTTTATTTACATTTTGCACAGCGTCCCAACTTTTTTGGAAATGGGGTTGTACTCCATGAGATTAAACCGATATGAGGGCTGCTAAAGTCTCACAAACCAGACTGGGCAGGTTTTAAGATCCACCATCTCTAAGGAAATGCCATTTGACTGACATGCAAAATGACCACACAGACCACACGGTTTACTGCGACATGTTTCTAAAAAATAAACAGACTTAAATAAAGCGGAGCAGTGTTGGAAATTGTTTGAGGATATTTCATTTATTTGCAACTTTTGTTTTTAATGACTAATCGACTAGTCGACTACTTTTCTGAATGAGTTCCAATTAAGTCGTGCCACTGATAGGACGCAGTGACTGTTTTAAAAACATCTATGATTTTTGTTGTGCTAAGCCATTCCAAGCCAATTAATGACATTATGTGTTTTTAGAACTTTTTGTGGAACTTGCTTACTAAATACTAAATGAATCCAGGCAGGCACAGTACTGTGCAAAAATTAGAGACTACTCGTCTTTTATTTAATTTCCTGGTTCCGTTCCAAATTTCTCCTCATCACCCCAAGTCATCTTGTTGATTTCCAGTTCATTTTACCACCAGCACCCCTGATTTCATTTAATGCAGGATTAATTAGCCAAACCAGGTACTGGATGATATCTACAAATAGTACTAGGCTGCCAGGAGGAGAGAATAAATGAACACACTGACATATATAAACTCACTACTAACTGTTTTAATGTTATTTGACTTTATTGTAGTAAAATTTTAAGCTCAAAAGCTCAGTATGCTGTTTATGTCCATAGGACAATTTAGATAGCAAACACCAACTAATTACGTGGTTTACTTAACAGTGAGTTTAACAGACTGTTTATAGTGCCTAAGCAGAACCAATAGGGTTTAATATAGTTTTTAATGCTAAAGCCTTTAAATGCCCCAGTCCTGCCAGTAGGTTTATGTTTCCATTCCTCACTCCTATAACAATAACTCCAGTTTCCAGTTTCTAGATAATAAGACTTAAGAAGTAATAAGCTTAGAGATGTTAAAGGTTTTAAAGAAGATAACAAAGCATGAAAGAAACACATTGTTCATTATTTTGATGTGTTCGTTTCAGGGCTCTGGTCAAAATGCTGGTGGTGGGACTTAATTTCATATATTCTCCACTGGCTCAAGCTCTGGACTTCTTACTCGCCTGACCACTTCAGACACAATGAGGCCGTTTTCATTAAATAACAATCTGAAACATTGTAACCTCACTGTAATCTGACATATCACTATTCTCAATACTTTACTTTATTGAAATAAAAGGTTTATATAGCATCAAAAATGGTTCATTCTCCATCATTCTGAAGAACCATTCCACAATGCAAAGAACAGTATGAAGCAATAAATGGTTCTTTGAGTCTCCATGGTTCTATATAGAACCACTGTCTTTACTAAAGAACTTTTGAAGAACCATCTTTTTGAGAGTGTTTAATGCAGGTATATGAGGCAGTCGGTAAGTTTTAAACATGTCTGTTGCGAAGGTACAAGGTACATAAGACGCATTCTCTAGGTAAAATAAATGACAATGTGTTATTAGAACTTTTTTGTGGAACTTGCTTATTAAATATTTAATAGGTTCAGTTCAGCACAGTACTGACTACTCAGAGACTCAGAGACTACTTGTCTTTTATTTAATTTCCAGGTTTGGTTCCAAATTTCTCCTCATCGCCCCGAGCCATCCTGATGATTTCCAATGAATTCTACCACCAGCTCCCCTCATTTCATTTATGCTTGTGGGTGTACGTGATAGTTTCTTGAAAAAAGAAAACTGATAAGTAGCTCTGTGTTGTTTTACCTTGCATTTAAAAAAATAATAATAATAATGCATTTTGACACATTTTATTTATTTATATAGTTATCTGTGAGTTCTCTAATAAAGACATATTGATCTGTATTAAGGCTGTAGTCAATACCACCTTTGTAGAGCCCAAGACAAGACCAAGACCATGACTAGTCAAGACTGAGTCAAGAACGATTCTAACTGAGTCTGAGTCCAGGTCAAAACTAACTCTACATAAAAGCAACATCAAGTCCAAAAGAAAGCAAAACAAGGTCAAGACCAGAAAGTACCCATCTTCACTGTCCGATGGTGCTGGTGGTGTCTTTCAGTGGGCTTGGGCTCTTGCTCTTGGTCTGGAAGTTCCACTTGGTCCAGGCTCTTGGGAGTCATCATCCTTGTGGATGTATTCTTCTTGTTGTACTGGTGGTTGTTCACTCACTGGTCTCAGTGCAGGCGTTGCTCTGGAACAATGGTTTAGATGGACCCAGACCTTTTGTCCTTCCACTTTAACTGCAGTTGGAGTTGCTAGGACCACCTTGGAAGGACCCTCACGTCTTGGTTCAGTCCAGCCTCTTTTGAAGACCCTTATGTAGACATAGTCTCCAGGCAGCACTTGTTTGAGCTGATCTCTAATATCTAACTTTCTTCCCTCAGTGGCACCTTTCACATCATTGAAGATTTCTCTATGGATTTTAGTCAAACATTTTACATATTCATGTAATTATTTGAGCTGAGGGCCTTTAGTAGGCCGTGAGAGATATGTTACAGGCATGTGGCACCTTGTGAGCATTTCATAAGGGGTCAAATGAGTGATTTTACGATTGGTAATCACTCTCAAACTCATTAAAGCTAATGGTAGAGCAATTAGCAAATTAATTTTCAGTTCGCTTGCTGCACATGTCTTAGTAATTTTAGCTTTAAGAATTCCATTTTGACATTCAACTATGCCCTGCGATTATGGATCTACATTTAATCATTAATTAATAATTAATGTCTGTGTAATTATGTCAATAACTTTATTAACAAAGTGTTGGCCATTGTCAGAACTAATTTTATGCCATATGCAAATCTAAACATGATCCATCCACAAACAAAATTAACTCACTATTTGATAGTGGTTCACTATATAAATCTTCTCCAGATTTTAAGAAGGTTGTGGTTAACTATTCACAATGATGTGGTATACCTTCTTCAGGCGTAGCTAACCTCTCTGCTGGATTCACTCTGGAGCATCTTTGTATTGTCAAATCAGGGCCGAAAGAATGACGTCATATCCTGTTTGTCTAACATTAGTCAACACAAAAGAGTAAGATGTTAATAAGATGTGTATCACATTGTTATGGATGTTGCTTTCTCATATGTGAATGATGCCGCTTCTAAGCCTTGATACAATACCTTTAGCTAACAAACTCAAAGTTGTTACTTTTTTTCTTTTGTTATAACTTGGGTAGTGTGTTTCCCATAATATATCTACTTTCCTTTAATTAGTAAAATAATCTGTACTGTAGCCTCTCTGTGCAGACTGGGAGCAGTCTGTGTGTGTGTGGTGCTCCAACTGTACTAGATTAATTGCTGTCCTTGAAGTGCTTGTGTGTATGTAATCTCATGGTCCGCTGCTAAGAGCCCCCCCTTTCTTGCTTCTCTCTCTCTCTCTCTGCTGCTTTTTACCTGCCAAGACGACAGGTTAATACCCATACATTGATAATTTCCCTTATTTTCCAAAAAAATCCTCCTTTTTCATTTTTTTTCTTTTACTTTTACGTCACTCACTATCTTAGAGTCGAATTCATCAGCTATGCTTCACACACATCAATCTTTTTTTTCGAAAGGGAAATCTTCAAAGTAATCTCCTTTAAACAGCTCATCTCTTGAACTTCTAAATACATGTTGCACTCGCGTTGAGTTAGGCCATAAACTCTTATGCAAGGGGTCAGTTTCTTGTAATTTAATCTAGTGTCAAGGAGCGTACCATCCTAAAGTAGCTGCCTTTTCTCTCTCCCACAATTTTGGTGTATCTCAAGCTCTCTGCACCGCTCAAATTTAATTTCAGCCACTAAAGGGGTTTGACTATTTAATATTGTATTTAACAATGGAGCTAGATGTTTTTTGTTCCAAATCAGTTTAATTCTCCCTTTCAACCTATGGTGAGGAACATGGTTTGCACTTCATCCCAGTTGAGCCATTTGGGTGAGCTGCCATAATTTTTCACTAATCAACACTGATGATTTCCAACTCTCTCTGCCTTCTGCATCATTGTAAGTTTTACAACTTTTTGTAAGTTTTACAACTTTTTGTATGGCCACACTTTCAGACAAAACACACAGACAAACATTTAACATTTATCTCTTAGCGCTTTTTTCTCTATAGCATGCTTTTTTTCTCTCTCTTTACATGGTATCATTTATCGCATTGTGTCAAAGCGCCAAGGGAAGAGGCGCCACGTTTACAGAGTCGAGATGTTGAAGGCTCAAGTGGGCCAGAAGAAAGTGAAGAAGAAGGCAGGAAGAAGCTGAAACAGGAAGGAAAAAAGAAAGGAAGATAGTGAGAGCAAGACTAAAGGAGGGAAGGACGAGGACTAGGGTTGAAGTGAGGGAATTCTACTCTTTTAGCATTGAAGGTTACTGAAGGTATGAATGTGTCACATTTAATTATGTTGGCGCCTCAGATGATTTCGACGACATCAACTCCTTTGAAGATGGTCATCAGAGCTAAGTTAGGAAGAGCGGTTCATCTCCCCTGTCGATGTGGAAGGTTTAATGTTGGTGGTAATAATCCTCCTAAGTCGTGGTGAAGATGTGTTGTTAACAGGACCTGAAGTTGATACTGTGCCTCGTGATCAGAGGAAGAATCTTTTGTTTAATGACTGGAGGTGGTTGAAAGTTGGGGACGATTGTTCACTTGTGCATAATGTTACATGGGAAGACCAAGGGGAATACATATGTACTTATTTAGAGCCAGAGTTTAAATTTGTTCCATTTCAAAGTGTGTGGAGAGAGGGTTATATAACTCGGAAGGTAGTAGTTATGATAGAAGATTTGAGTTCTACTGGAGTTTTCATGGTTGCTAAAAGGGTTCAGGAACAATTCACCACAGCAACCACTCCCAGGGTGAATATTGCATCGATGAAGCTTACTACTTTAGCTCCAGAAACAACTAAGAGCGTTTATACATCAATGAGGCTATTACTTTAGCTACGACTTTGAAGGGGATGCAGGCTACTACAGGGATGGTGACAATTTCTACCTTTGTCACTTCTGGAAATATTACAAGTGAGGCTGGGCCAAGGGCAACCTTTGCCAATAAAACAGTGACGACATTTTTGTCACCTACGAAATTTGTAAATGTGACACAGACACCTGATATGACATCTTTGAACTTTAAAGAAGTAGTAAATATAACCCAGAAACCTATGTTAAAGATAGAGCTTAGTGTGAATAGTAGTAATGAGATTTTTGAACCTAGAGAACAGATGGTGGAAGAGAATGATGCAGATTCATCTGTGACAGCTCAGAGGACTATTTTAGATGTGGAAGATGAGTTTTTTGACTTTGACTGGACACCAGAAGACATGACTGACCATTATCATGTATTACAGAAGAGAGAAACTAAGTGGAAGGCATATGGATTTGATTCCTCGGTGTTACAAATCGCAGACCCATGGGCAGGTAGGAACTTATGGTTCCAGCAGTTAACTCATTCTGTAAGATCGGTTAGGAAACTGAATTGTCCATGTGTGGTGAAAGTTCCAACACCAGGCACATGGCCTTCAATTTTAGAGATGGTACCAGAACCATTAAGTGCTAAATGTCAGTCTTATGCATTATGTTACCTCATGCTGTTATATCAGCAGCAATCGGCGAAAGATAAGGTGATGGCTCTGTCAGTGCATCTATTTAGACCTAAACATAATTGTTCTTGGTTGAGGGAGTTACCATATGTGAATTTACTTGATCAGCATGAAAATATGATAACAGCGATCCCTGATGCGTTGGAAGTGAAATCTGTGGGGGCAAAGACGTTTTGCGATGAGAAATGGGCTGACTATAGGGAATTCTTTAAGGATATTTAGGCTGGTTTGTGGTGATAAGGCATATATATTTCTACCGTATGGGTGGATAGGGATGCTGTTATATGGCAACATTGAAGCTTCCATATGAGGTTTTTACTGTCCAGAAGGGAAAAGTATCTGATGAGGTTCAATCTGATGCTATTTCTGGAAGTAGGAAGAAAAGGGAACTGGCACAATTTCATAATCTGGAGTCCTATCATTGGAGGATAAGTCTAGGAGAGAAGTAGGGTATAGGATTATTTCCATGGTATGGTGTGACATTTTTGGCAGATCACATTGATAATATTACCTACACCCTACAGGGTTTTGCAAATGAGACTATAAGAGGTTTTGAATACTTGTCAAATACTCAAGAGTCATAGACTGACGTTGCTGAAACATGACATGGCTCTTGATTATCTTTTAGCCAAACAAGGCGGCCTATGTGTAGCTTTGAACTTAACTGGTGATGCCTGTTATACTTTGATTCCTGATAGTTCTGACAATATGACTAGTGTCATAGATGCATTGAAGCATATAAGGGATGCGTTTGGCCCATCGGAAGGAGCTGGATGGTCTGTGAATGCTTGGTTGCAGGAGAAATTAGGACCGTTGGGAGCAGTGTTGGTTCAGATTATGGTAGCAGTTCTTATATCATTGAGTGTGATGTTTGTTTCTGTACGTTGTTGTTAACCTTTGCGAAGGCTATGATATTGAGATGGGTTGGAGTTGTGATGCCTGGAGATCAAGTTCAGATGCCATTACTACATAGGACTGACACAGACGATGACGAGGAAGTGGTGATAGAAGGCGAACTGATGGAGAAATATCCATTTTGAATATCTACTCTTATTATAGTCTTAACATTTATTTCTGTTACTATTTTGGTATTTAGTGGTCTCTTACTATAGAGTGGGATGATTGCAGGGGGAAATGGAAAAATGTGACTTATAACTTGGAATAATGTGAAAGTATGATACTGTGAGTTTCACATTTACTTATAAGGTGTTCATTCATATTTGATGTTTCAATTTGCATCTGTTGTTTTTGCAAAAGATACTGGTTGGTGGTTTTCTTTTCTTTCCTTCAAGAACGATGTTGGTGGAAGACCACTGTAAGGGTTGTTGGATCTTCGGGGACCCCGATGTGCATGGACAATAAGAATGGACTGGAGGACTTTGAATAAGGACACTGTGATACAATGCCCAGAGTCAACACATCATCGACACTACACTGAGAGTCGACGCTGCTGAGGAGCTGCAGTGTGATACATTTTTATGTCTTCTCATATATATATTTGCATAGTATTGGATTTTGTTCTATTATATTGTAATGTGTGATATTGATAGAGGACATTTATAAGGTAGCGATAATCTTAGCAAGACATAATAGTTGGATTGAGTGTTTGAGTTGTTTACTGCATGAGTAGTACTTAAATTTATAACACTTTCTTTGTTTTAGTTGCTTGAAGATTGATGTTTTCTGTTATTGGGTACGTACATTGGGACCTCAGATGTTTTTTTTCTTTTTTCGGTGCTAGGGATATTGGTGCTAGGCAGGGAAAGGTCCATTGGAAGGTCCGATGGGTCGACCAGCCTGAAGGTGGACATTGTTTTGATTTTATTTTCTGAGGTTTCGGTATGTATTTGCTTAAGTCATATCCCTACATGACTTGTCAAAATTCCTTCTTTTTTAAATTGGTCTGGAGTATGTGGTTGCCTAAGGTAGAGGGATCATGAGATAATTTTTCCTGTCTAGATTGTTTGATGGACATTTCAGGAATGATAGCTGCCTGACAGGTTTTTTCGCTCTCACACTCCATAAAGTTGTTGTATTGCTAAGGTTACGCTGTAGGAAGCATGTGTAGGAGGAACTGTTATTTTGTTACAACTGCACACATGTATGTGTTACTTTTTTGTTTTTCGAGACTCTGTGTAAGTCTCGAAGGGGGGAATATGTGGTATCTAGAGTTCCATGTGTTATCTGTTTTTGCAGGTTTGGAATGTTTAAGTTAGGGGGCCCCTGGTGTAAAGGTCTAAGGGTCAAGGCCCCATAGGGAATGGGCCCCTTTCTCTTCCTTTCCCTTCCTCTCTTAGTTCCAGATAGATGAGATCATTTTAAAAAGGACCATATGTTCTGTTTCCTTTTACGAAAACAACCACCCTATATAAGCAGTTGGGTATACTGTTCTGCAGGGGACACTTCAGAATTGGCACGGATCCCCTCTCAGGTACTTTATGGTGCTTGATACGATACTGTTTTACTTTGTAATAAACATCTTATAGCAAGACGGTGTCAGCAGAGACTTCTTCATCATCTTCACATCATCACTATTTAATAAACAACAGCAGCACTGCCATATCTGTGCTAGAGGTGGACCAGATCTGTTTTGGAACATGTGGGTCATATGAATTTTTTTGTATGTGAGCTACGTTTGGCTCACATGCTGTTTGCCGGTAGGCAGTACTGCCATATCTGTGCCAGAAGTGGACAAGATTTGTTTTAGGACATGTGGGTCCATTCGAATTTTCTTATATGTGGTCCACTTCTGGCTCACATGCTGTTTGCCAATGGGCAGCACTGCCATATCTGTGCCAGAAGCAGACCAGATCTGTTTTGAGGCATGTGGGCCAAATCTTCATTTTTGTGCTTCATTAGGTGCTCTAATACAACTGCCTGATTAAAAAAAATACTTGAATAAATAGAGAGATAAAAGAAATAAAGAGCCTGTTTTGAAAACGTAGCGAGTGAAAAGTACAGATTTTTCTTTTGAAATGTAGTAAAAGTAAAAAGTATTAAGTGACAGAAATACTCAAGTAAGGTACAGATACCTAAAGAAATGACTTAAGTACAATAATGAAGTAGTTGTATGTCATTACTTACCACCTCTGGTTCTTGGATTATCTGCCTCTTATTTTAGGAGAGTAAAATACAGTTTATCTGTGTAACGGGTTTTGCAATTTTAATATTATTATTGCTAGAACCTTAGATAAGGGTGTGGAGTAACCCGAATTTATTTGAAGTCTACAGACTAGGGCAAGAGAGAGAAACGCTCGCACCAAGGATGCTTCAGTAAAAGGGAATTTATTGGCTGAATATCAAACTACTTTTGGACTACATTCAATAATAAACAATAGAAAATAAAAAACAAAAATGATAATAATGAAAGTCAAAAGGACAAAATAGCTCGAGTAAAGTGATTCGCAGCTAAATGGTATGAGGCAGTGTGGTTCTTGGGAAGTCGCTTGAAAGAGCCTCTAGAGAATTAACCTAAGTATGGACAGGAATAACAATATGGCTGGATGTACCTATTAAAAGTTCTCTTATTAAATAAATTGGCGAAAGTTATGGATATATTCTCCCTGGCCAGACAAGAAATATCCACCTTCCTTCTCTGAGGGTGGTTTAAACTTAAGGTGTGTAGACGAACAGGCAAGTTACAAAACAAACAAAGGTTTCAGATCTGAAAATTTAGCGTTCTAATACTTCTGACCTGTCTTTCTGACCAAGGCCGGCACAAACTTATTTAGCTATCTTCTTGTTGAGAATGCAGAACTCCGAACTGTCGAAATTTGCGGTGCACTCTGGTTTTGCTCGGCTGGAGGCCCTACCCTTTGGACGTGGAGCCAGAGTGCTGATAGGTTCTCCTCATCTAAGGTTAACTAGCTACTCATTGTTTCCAACTCTGATTGGTTGTGCATAATTTTAGGAATGCCTTCCCCAGAATCACTGCCTTCTTTGTTTCAGCTAGTTTTAAACAAAGAAAAAGAAACATTCCTATATCATCAAATCGATTTAACTTTCAAAAGGAATGAACAACTAGGATATTCAGGTACACAGGTAATATTTGCCTGTAATATCTGAATATGACCCAATGCATGAAGAAATAAAATTGACAACAAAAGAAAAGGAACAAGGGAAGAAAAGAAAAGAAAACCACATTCAGAATACATATTGGTCAATGGTCTAAACTCATAGCAATTAAATGGTTGGGTCTGTCTGTTATCAAAGTTATACACTATGTATTTCTAGTGCTTAATAGTAGAAAAAGGTACAAGTAATATTTAGGTAATACACAACAATAAGATTAATAAAACAAGTAGTATTGCTTACAGATTATATAAATATTGATAATCAAGCAGACAAAGCAAGAAGTTTCTTGGGTTCTTTATAAGCACATGTCCTTACGGTGGTGATGTGGTAATTCTCGTTTCCACCCCTTGGGTGTGCTGTGGGTCCATGCTTGAGATCCTCAGGGACTTTAGCAAGTTTAAATTCGCAGTCCAGATTGTCATATCAGTTCCGTTCTTGGTATGTCTAGTTTAGTTAAAAAGAGGTCTAACGAATGGTTGCAGTTTGGAGTGGACATATACCTTAGAAATGTACTTTCTGTTACTTAAAGATAAAGTTGTCCACAGGACGTTGGAGAGCCATGTGGCCAAATTCCAGGGAGGTGTTCTGTTGCCCCCTGGGTCGAGGGAGAGGGGTGCTGGTTCTTGATTCAGCCGTAAGTCGACAGATTTACATTTTCAACTCCATACTCGCCGGAGCCAAAAGGCCCTTAACTTTTGAGTTGTTGATAAATTAGGTGAACGCTTGAAGTAAAGTTTCAGCCAGTGTTCGCTACATCTGTAAACTCTATACCTGTATTACAGGTAAATACATGTCCCAAAACATATGTGGGCCACTTCTGGCAATAACATGGCACCACCCTCCAGCACTTGCAAACTGTAAGTGAGCTAAAAGTGGCCCTCATATTAAAAATGATAATAGCTCACATTCTAAAGTCTTCAAGAATGTATTAATGTGCAAATAAATAAAATAAAAATGTCTAAATAATTTGCAATAAAAATTAATAATACTAGTGTAACTAAATATAACATTATCCAGATAATAATAATATTAATATAGTAACAATAGTAATAATAATAATAGAAATAATAATAACAATAATGATAATAATAATAATAATACGCAAATATGTGTGATATTTTGTCATTGAAATATATTTTTAAAATTATCTCAATGTAATAATAGCAACATCAGATTGCCATATTATCCATTCAATTCCTGAGTTTAGAATTTTAGAATAGTCTGTATGAGGCAATAGTTTATGGAACATTTGTTGTCCTGTTTATCATTTTATTTGCACTGCAGTTCCACCTTACTGCCTGAAATATAATTAAAAAGGAGCTACACTTTCACTGGACGTACAGCGCAGATAGGCTAAAATTTCTTTACAACCGCGCTGATTGGCTGAGAGGACTTTCACTCATCAGTGAGGCTCCGCCTACACACTGTTTATATAAGGTTAACTAATGACCAACGCTGAAGAAAGACTGTCAGGAACACTTCAGAACACACACTTGTGGTAAGTAAAGATAAATTTTAAAACATTGGGAAGGAATGTGACCTCTGACATTAGAGATTGTTAGCTAACAAAATCTGTTGCGATTGGCTGACAGTAGGCAGAAGTAACTTGGCTGTGTAACGTCAGCTACTTTGGCTATCCAAAGCTAGCTAATGGTTATAAAATAACTGATTAATTGATAAGGCATGCGATGAATTAAAATACAAACGTTTATTTAATCAATTCCAGAAATTAATAAATGAATTCTCATTTTCCTTTCAATGTAACGATGTCATGACGTTTCCCTGCACAAGAGCTGACATTAGTTAGCTGGCTGTTAGCTGGCTGTCAGTTAACGTTAGCTAGCTAGCTTCCACATGCGGAAGAAATTAAATGGGTAGCCTGGCTAGTTCACTTACTTAGTTGGCTAGGTTACTTTAACCACAATAAAAGAACATAATACGATTTATCTGGTGAGCATTAATTAAACCTGGTACATTTTAAGCCACGGTAGGTTAAAACTGTGCTTTTATGTCGGATGAGGAGATGAGAGACGGAGGGCATAAGCTAACGCTAACACTAGAACTACCATGAACTGGCTACTGCAGAGATGGACGGTGACGCGGAAGCAGCCACATGTGTTGAGGGGGGACTTGACGTGTTTAATTAAGTCTGTGAGCAAAACTCACTGATAGTGGGAAAAGCTGCGATTCAATCGTGTGGCTACGTCTGTTCGCACGTACTTGCATTGCCTTAATAAAACGTTAACAAATGTTGATTTAATGTCCGTTTGTAAGTTTGTAAGCGTCCCTGTAAAAGTTACATTTCCTCAACCAAGTCTGTATGTTGTGATACATGTTGCCGTCAGCAGGCATCTTGCTTACGTCATGTACCATAGTTATTACAGGAGCTGTATTTTGCTTACTCATAATTGACTGATATGAAAATAGGAAATTTGCTGTCGTTTTATTTAGCTAAAGTAACTTTTGACTGCAACATGTCTGGGAGTCGGGCCAGCAAGGGTTCGACTCTTGACCAGTGACTCTGAGAGTCGAAATGCTCAGAACTCTGTTTTTTCATGCTCGAGGGACATGCAATGCAGGAAAGAGTCTGAGTTTGTGAGTTTATTTAATTACCAGCTTTAATCAGAGCTAACGCTGCTCACTAGCTGCCGTTTCTATTTGTCCTGCACAGCAGCTCTTGATGTTCTTTAGACTTTGGGTCGTAATAAACAATGATTAGAAACGGTACACAAAACGGAAACAAAAAAACAATATTTTTCAGTGTTGTGGAAAAGAGGATTTGTTCCTTATTTGCCAGCTTCTTATTCAAATTTTCTGCTCCACCTTAAATGGCGCTGCAGTGACAACCTGGCGGCGGCGCACCATTAAGGTAAATGCCAAACATTTAAGGTGGAACGGAAAAGTCAAATAAGAAGCTGGCGAATCCGAAGCCAAGATCAGCCTCATAAAAAGAAGATAACATCAGGCTGGTTCCTTTCAACTTTTTCAAGCATAATTACGTTTTCCACTGATTTGGTTCTATTTTTGCTCAGGTAAGTCGGTCTGTAAGCAGTTAAACTGTGTATTTAAGCTTTAGAACCTAACAGGGAAACTGCAAAAAATCATAAATAAAACCAAATGAGTACAGCTTTCAAATTTAGCTGAAATTTGTTGCATGAGTTAAGTTTTTTGCTTCAATTTTAATTCATGGAAATCCATAGACAATGAGTTAATGACTCCAGTGTGCTCTCACTGGCCCAGTTTAATGAACAAAAAGCCAGTAATCAGCTGGTTAGTCATAAAGTTGTACATATTTTACACATAAAAGTAAACTAAAGGAACTGCTAACCATATTACAATCCAAATGAATTGTTGCTTTCTTATCTCAGAAGTGCCTTTTCCATCTTGGAGAGGTTTGTGTGCATGTACAATAGTGATATCACTTATGTAGCCTATTTTGTGATTAAAACAGGGGGTGTGCTATACCAGACATAGGGGTGGATATGTACGGTTTGTAATAGAACAAGGAAGATCTGTGTGTTTTTGAAGATGATTCTTTCATTTGGTTTAATGAGAACTACTTTCTGTTTGTATTCACAGATCACAACTTTAGGACTCCTGGGCGGTTTTGATGTGAAAGACACAGTTTGGAGAGTCATGAGATGCACAATGACCAACTCATTAGCAAAACAACTTAACTGGAGGGGCACAAGTGGTAAGGCAGAGTTTCAAAACCTGCTTCTAAAAGAAGTAACCATGGGTATATTGCTTTTTTATCTCATTATGTGGCTCATATGCATATTTGATTGAAAATATACATATTACTTTCTTTGCAGCAGTTATAAGCACAAAGTGAAAATGTTCAGTTCTGTTATCTAATATTTTTTTCCTGTAGCCAATTGCTTGACATTTCAATCCATAATCTAATGTTATCTGAAAATTAAAGGCCTTAGTAATGCATGGTAATAGCCCAGTCGTTTTACATGTAGTCAAGTTGTGCATTATTTCTGGCAGTGGAGGTTTAAAGCTGGCTGAGATGCGGCTCTCATGACTATACACTGGCAGAGTACTGGCAGCTGTGTCTGGCCCTCTTCTGTGCCATCATTCTATGCAGTGTAAATCCCAGATGTCACATCTACACCACTTTACCAGCACTCATATATGTTAATTAGGCTATGCCAGTTACAACAGTTTCTACATGAATGTTCCAGTTGTAAAGCTGTCGAAGAACTAGGGTAGTGTATTTGAGATGTGTAACAGTTGGATTGTTATTTTTAGGTGCTGTAAGCCACAGCTCAAGAAATTGAGATGTGGATAGAGAATTGGCTACACCTGTCCATGGACTGTGAGGGAGGAATGCGAGAAAGACAGGAGCGAAGAAGAGCTACTGAAGAACCACTGCTTCATCATTTGGACAATTTTTAGTTGTTCCCCACTAAAAGCCTTTACACATTGGACACGTTAGGCTGACACTGCAGTTTGTACAGTTTTTGTTTGGACAAACTAGTTCTTGTTTTCATAATGACAGAATGCACGAAAAGGGTGATTTTAATTTGACTGATTCATTCATGTTCACATGTTAAAGGGAAATTCCACCAATATTTAAAAGTTTTTGGAAATAAAAAAAACATCTCCTTAAGGACGGTAGATGAGACTGTAGAGCTGCGGCTGTGTCTGCACCACAGCACTGAGTGCCTGCCTGCTCTTTATCAGCATTATTACCTAACACTTACATCACCAGTAATGTTAATCTGAGTTTCAGAGATTAAATATCATCAATAATATAAATGTGTTTTGCCTGATGATAATTCATTATATGTAACACCAACAATAAAAGATTCATGCAAACTGCAATTTTTTTGTGATGAATGTTATTTTGCTCAAAAATAAGATGTTTAAAAAATGCTTTTTGGTTGGTTGGCTTTCATAGTAAAGTGCCACAAAACATGCTGTATAAACTGACTTTAAAGGAGAGGGATGCAGACAATGTATATACACATCCTAGACATGTTCTTTTTGTCTTTTACATGCAAATGAGTGCTCTCTTTTCATTAATGCCTGCCTTATTTCAGCTCAGTATTTCAAGTTTTAAGTGCATCTCAGTGTTTTTCAGTGGAGCCTGTTTACCTTTTTCCACTGGTGCATTTTCACTGCAATCCTGACAGCTGTGTTCAAACTGACACACTACGTTTATGTATATGCTGCTGTCATCACAGAAACCATCTTGTCTTATTGAAGAAATTTCAGATGAATCAGTGACAATCTAAGTAGCATCAGTCATAAACATTAGTGTCCTCCTACAAGGAAGAAGCTGAAACATGCTTTAAAAGATAAAGCCTAAGCCAAGAATTACAAGAATAAGGTGAAGCTGTACTGTACTTTCTAGTTTAAATATTGGAAAAGTAGATATCAGAAAATCAAGACATACACCAGAACTTTACATCTACACAAAAATGAAACTTTTCAAGTTTTCTCTCGTAATAAAGACAGATGTAATAAAGACAGCGGACTTTGCAATTGTTTCATTTAACTGTTCATTTTTTTTTAACAAGCGTGTCTAAAAGGTGAAGAAACATCTCTCTGTGCCTCCAGTTCTCCTCTCTCTCACCTCCTGTTCATTTCTCTTTTTGCCTATCTTGCCTTTCCTCTTCTTTCCTCCCTCTCCTCCCTCTCCTCCCACTGACTCCCATGAAATAATTTCATTCCTGTGATTAATAATCGTCACTGAGTCATGTTTTAAATCAACAAAGAAGCATTTAAAGGTCTTAACAATTAACCATTTCAAACAACAAGTGAAACAAACAGACTGTTTTCCATAAATAAACGTATAAAATCTAAAGGTATGAAGTTTTGGTTTGAACACAAACCAGTCCACTGTTCATTATGCACAGTACAATATAAAGTATACACAACTAACCTAAAGGGGTACCCCACCAACTTTTCAACATGTCAGCATGATTAAATGGTTGTGATGTAAACAAAGTCATTCAGAGTGGTTTGGCGTAAAATGCTTTGTTCTAGAGAACATTCTTTCTCACAGAAAGTTATTACATTAAATGGTTCAGAATATGATGAATGATTTCTGATACATTGTTTCAAGGTAGTTTGGTGATAAAGATTTTGGTCTAAAACGTGTTTTAATCTATTTATTTTAATCAGTTCATGGTGGAAAGATACAAGAAGAGTATTCTTATTGCCTTAGAGTTCTAAGGCAAAATATTCACCAAAGCATTATTTTATAACTTATTTTTCAGATTTATACTACTATACTACTATTTTACCATCATCAGCATTACATATAAAACTCAGAAGACACATGTAGGTTCACAGATGGTTTTGGATAGTAAATGAAATGGCTGTATTTGTGTTGTAGACATTGTGACCCTGGTTCCTATCACCACCACTGTAAAGTGATCTGAGTCAGTAATTTTCTCTGTAGTTAAATATTTCACATCAAACCACTGATCTTCTTCCTATTCATTCCTCTCTCATTTCATTCTTTTATATATACATATACATACATTATATATATATATACCGATCACCTTTAAAAACTCCAGCAGTACTGCTGTGTCTGATCCACTCATACCAGCACAACACACACGAGCACACCACCACCACATCAGTGTTACTGCAGTGCTGAGAATGATCCACCACCCAAATAGTACCTGCTCTGTGAGGGTCCATGGGGGACCTGACCACTGACGAACAGGGTAAAAGGGGGCTAAAAAAGTATGCAGAGAAACAGATGGACTACAGTCTGTAATTGTAGAACTACAAAGTGCACCTATATGGTAAGTGGAGCTGATAAAACGGACAATGAGCATAGAAACAAGGAGGTGTGTATATATATATATATATATATATATATATATATATATATATATATATATATATATATATATATATACACAAATATATGTAAGTGTAGGGTGTGAAAGGTGTGTAAGCTCGGCCAATCAAAAGACGGTGACATCACAATGCACCGAAAAAGAAAGACACTGACATCACTTATGATGTCACAATGGCCGAAGCCCATTAAAATCTTAAACCTGCAGCGCATTGTTTCATTTCAAGTTTGACACTTGAGCTGTGCACGTGTGCTTCACGAACTTCAACTGATCAAAAAACATGAATGAACAGAGGAAGAAGGAGAAGAAACAGAAGAAGAAGGGCAAAGTGGTGGTCAGCCTGCTGCGCATGGTTCTCCTCTTGAGCTGCTTCAGAGGTGGCGCTTCGGAACATAAGGAGGACCACAATAGAACCCTGCACAACCAGAAATGGACTTCACAAATGCTAAAACAGAAAAAGGAATCAAAGAAATCTTTCTTCAGGGGAGCCCTTGGACTGTTCAGCAAATCAGAAGCTGGAAAAAATGGACAAAATGAGAAAGGAGAGGACGTTACTGGACAAAATTATGACACAGGTGTGCAAACTTTGGCTACTGAATCCAGTTCTTTCTCATGCAGCCAGACGTCCACTAATGGCCACAAGAGGGTGGCCATAAGCTCTGTTAAAAAGGGGACAAAATGCAGGAAAGAAACTGTCACAGCTGACCTGTACCCATTTCCCACACCATCCAACCTCAGTGACCTTTATGGCATGGTCAGTTTGTTGGAATCATCTAGAAGCCTTGAGGAGAAACTGGACAGGACACCGATACTCCCCTTCAGTGGTGGAGGAGAACACAGCTGGAACAAAGGCAGGAACCCAGCCATCACTCCTGACCTGCAGGAACCGAGACCTGGACCGTCCCACCTAGAGATCTGCATGCCAACAGCATCACAGATACATATACTAAGACAGAAGCCTCTGGCAGTGAGAAGCAGACTAAAGAGTGTGAGGACCCCAGCGCTGACAGGAGGAAGACCACCAACCTTCTGCCAACTCCATCAAACTGGCATCATCAGTTCCTCAGGCTTTTTATTTTATTCTTTCTCTCAGGTTTTGTTTATCTTCTTCATTCGTCCTTTTTAAGCTGGCTTGGAAAAGCCACGTTAACATTCTTTGTAAGCTTCTTATTCTTATTCTACACTCAAAGGATAAAATGTTTCTCGTCCCACAGTTTTCAAGTTAGAAAAACATAACTTTGCAGGATTGTAGGACCTATAGCCGATTAGGCTGCTTTCTGAGAGATCCGACGAACATAGATTCATATAGCGTATATCGTTCAAAACTATATTTTTTCCCATAGGAAAAGTTTTCTGTTCTTCAGTCTTTTCAATTTATTATTTCTCTCAGTTTATTTAGTATTTTCTAACTTGAATCTTAAATAAAGAACACGCCTGTGAAATGAAAGAACTGTGATTACTTTTGCTAACTATTTATTCTTTCCTCCTTCCTTTCATTCTTTCCTCTCTCCATTTGGCTTTCAACCTTCAACTCTTTCATAATCTTCATCTTCTCTCTCTCTCTCTCTCTCTCTCTCTCTCTCTCTCTCTCTCTATATATATATATATATATATATATATATATGTATAGGAAGGAGATATAGGAGGAAGGAGAACTGTTACCTATGTAGTTGCTATTCCACCCATTTTATCCATGCAAGCAGTTGTTTCCAAATGATTTCTAGTGTTGTCGTTGAAATTCATGCATGCATACAGGTGAAAACAACCTTGAGTGTGAGAAAAGGGAATGCGCAATATAAATGCAATATAAATGAAACTTATTATTGTTACTACACTCCCAACCATTTCATTAGATTGTATTTCACAATTGTATTGTACAATATTCAATTTAATATGCCCAGCACTTTCCATTTGTGCCACGGGGGGGCAACGAAGCCCTGCTTACAATGATTAAACATTCAGGTAAAAAAAAAAAGAAATATCCTTAAACACACTGTAAAGTAATAATCCAAATCTGTTTACTCAAAGAGAATTACTAACTAGTAGCTTTATCACATAAAACCATTATTTGAATATAAATTTATTTGACCAAAGCTGAACAAGGACCAATGACTTGGAGAAAAGACATAGCCCTAGGAGAAACCAACCAAAACAACTTTGTAATTTTGTCATCTGTAATATATGAACTTAAGGTACTTCAGAAAAAAAGAACATCACTCACTTGTTTTGTAAGCATCTTTGTTTTTGCTTAGAAAAAGACTTGCATCACATTCTTTTATTTCCAAAGATACTCATCCTGAAGTGACAACTCTGACTGGAATGCTCAAGATCATCTGTGTTAAGTGGGTGACCTTCAGAAAGTTCTCCACATTTCTTTTCCACCATGTTAGTCAAATATTCCTTACACCAATGGATGTTTCCACCATTAACATAAATATTTCACACTCAGTGGGATTAGCCTGAGAGGTGATGTCTGGCCCTGACATTGGCAGGAGATTCAACACCTACTTTGTTTTGGTCATCTAGCTAGCTCTGGTCTTCCTGAATCTAAGTTATTCACAGAATGCTTTAAATCATAGAATTTCCTTAAAAGGTTTTAGGTTGATAGTCCACACAGACCAAACAGTACTCTTTAAATGTGATGCCAGAAGAGTTACGCTGCATGGATTATTAGTAAATAATTATTTGGCCCAGTATGAATTGTAAAGCAGATGAAAATAAATGTACT